GAGCAGGCTCCGAGCAGGGTCCGAGCAGGGTCCCAGCAGGGTCGGAGCAGGGTCCCAGCAGGGTCGGAGCAGGGTCCCAGCAGGGTCCCAGCAGGGTCGGAGCAGGGTCCCAGCAGGGTCGGAGCAGGGTCCCAGCAGGGTCGGAGCAGGGTCCCAGCAGGGTCGGAGCAGGGTCCCAGCAGGGTCCCAGCAGGGTCGCAGCCGGCGCTGGCAGGTTCCTCGGTTCCAAGTGCAGTTTCGTAGAGGAGGGATGTTCAGAGGGGCCCGTCCCGTCGGTGTCAGAGCTGGGGCTGAGCGCGCTGATCCCGCGCAGAGCAGCTCTCGCCCTCCCCTCCCGGCCTCAAGCCTGAAGGTTCAGTTTCCATGTTCACCCTGTGCTCACACCTGCGGGTGTGACGGGACACGGGGCTCAGGCCGCTCACAGGAGCTCCGGGTCCTTCCTAAAACAGCACCAGGCTCGTCCCAGGTTCCTGCCCTGGGGCTGTAGATGTGGCACATCAATGGCTGTTTCTTTCGGTTTTAAAAAATCTAAAATTCTCTTCCCTTCCTCATGTGTCTTAAATTGAAAACTCTCTGGATTCCGGGCTTTGCAGTGTGGTTGGCCCTCACTCACCATCATATTCCTGCACGAAATGCCAGGAGTTTTTCTAGAGTTGCAACCTAGTTTCAAGGCACTTGGGGATTCTGGCAGCAATTAAAATTCTAAACCTCGGGACGTTTGCCAAGCACTATTGAAAACAAAAATGGCACATTAGGATATAGGGGAGGAGTGAAGCCCTGGGTGTTCTTTGGGTTGTTGGGGTTTTTTCAGCAGCAGCAGATGCCTGCAAGCAGGCTGGGGCTGAGGCACTGCCCGTGGTACCAGAACCCCGCGGGGTTTGCAGTGTCTTCTAGCTGAGAATCCGCAGGAATTCACAAGTCACGTACCAGGGCTTTGTGAAGAAACAAATTAAGAATGTCTGGGTTTAAGTTCAGCCATAAAGTTCAGACCATATTTGTCGAAATGTTTGCAAAACTTGATCATCTGGAACGATCCCGTGTTCAGTTTTGAGCAACCAGGGACTAGTTCCGTGGTGTTTTGCTCATCATGCAAAGCTGGTATCTCCATGCTTGTGGTTTCCTTTTATTTTTTTGTTTGTTTTTAAACTTGAAATGTCACATTTGGTTTTTCCTGTGTGTGGTTGTGTCTCCCCTTTTCTGTAGAGTCATTTTACAGCTCTAGCTCTTCCAGGTCTAAAAAGACAAGGTGATGGGACTAAACCTCTGCTGAAAAATGGGCCATTTGGAGGAAGGTTTTTTCAAAGGGAACAACAAGCTAGAAACTTACTGTCACTTTTTCAAAAGTGTGTTGGTCAATATCCCCCTGGAGCTTGTGTGTAGACTTTTGTTGTTCTCATGTCAATAATCTGGTGGGGTGAGGAAACAATTTTGCAATATAAATAATTTTTCCAAAGCTTGCAAAGTAGTTAAGAAGTTATGCAAACATATACTGTGGAAGTAGCTTCATCTCTGTGCCACCACAGCTAATGAGATTCATGTAGGCAAATACCAAGCTATGCCGTGTAAGGAACTGAATGTTTTTGCCATAAATGACGAAAAATTTGATCTCCCACAGAGCAGCAGGTTCCCTTCCCTGACAGGCTACTTCCCTTGCTTGGAGGGAAAAGCCTGTGAAGTCTGTTTGACAAGAGTCAGGGAGCTCTGAAAGAACCATATAAATAATCTTTTATGTGTTTTCTTTAAAGTACACAACCAAAAAAGCAACTTTCTCCTGCAGATCCTAAGGGCTGGCTCGGGCTGAGGGTCCCCCAGCCCAGGCAGTCAGAGGAACATCCAGGCTCCCTGGGGGGTTTGTGGGTCTGGGCTGGGGCTGCTCTTCAACCAAGTGGGTAATCAGTGGAGGTAACTGCTCCCCAGAGCTGTCTTAAACTTAGCAGGCAGATCTAAGGGGTGTCCCTTCCTGTAGTTGAATTACAGTCCTGTCCATCGGTACAACACTGTTACAGTAGAACAGTGATCTCAGACCAAGAGAAGTTACCCACAACTTTGGAGAAGGTTCAAAGACCATGTTGGAAAAATCTGTCTCCCCGAGAGATCATCTGTTTCAACTAAAATGAAACATAGAGGCAGAAAGGTGAAGTGGATGTTAATTCTGTTCCCGTATCTTCTTTGCTCAGTAAAATGAAAGTACTGAGCTCCCAGGGCCATTCTCTGAAAGCTTTGGTGGGTGCTTCGTGCACTAGTGTATTTTCCCTCTACAATGATAAAACCAATCAATCAGAGAAAAACAAACAAACAAAAAAGCTGCACTGAAAACATACAGTTAAAAAAGAGATTACATTTATATATAGAAGGGTGGTGCTTTTCAGTTATTACCTTGGTACAAAGAGAGAGGTTTTGTCATCATGCCGAAAGCACAGGAAAACCTGGCAAATAATTCTTTCTGGGTTGAAATATACCCCAGACTTTCTAGACAGCTGCATGTCTGGTTTTTCAAACAGCTCCTTGAATGTTCTTACCTCCTTCTGCAACAACTGAAAGGGGTTAGTGAGATCTCAGTCCGTTTGTGGTGTATACCATGTTATTTCAGACAAGTCTTGAGGAATATGGTGCCATGTAACTGTGCGATTTGCAAGAGGATCCTCTTTAAATAGTTGCTTATACTGAACATCACATTTTACAAAGTTCTCTGGCAGTTGGTGCCTAAGGGTGACAAATAATCATGTTTGATCCTTACTTTTGTGCGATGCTTCCTGTAAGAAACCCTCTGTGTGTGTGTGTATATACATATATTTAAACATATATTACATATACATATATTAAAAATAGAATACATTTCACCAAAGGTATTTTAGGCTCTGTGCAGAAACGTGAAGATTTGATCTGGGCTTTAAAAAATGCTCTTCTCCAGTTGCTGGGTCTGGCTCCTTCCTCGAGCTGCTCAGTCCCTGGCCCTCGAACGGCTGAGCTGGTGGGCGCGCAGCTCCCCCAGGACTCAGCCCCTCTCCTGGCTCTGGGGCTGAGCACAGAGCCCCGTGCTGACCCCCCTGTGCTGCCAGGCTCTGCCCAGCCCTGGCAGGATGGTTTCGTGCCTGGCTTTGGCAGAAGCACAGCAAATCCTGTTGCTTGCTGGGTCGGTTGGATAATCCGCTCAGAGAGCTGCGGCCTGGGGCTCCAGGAAGTTTTGTTCCAGTTATTCCTCTGGTTTTGTTTTGAGATCTGGAAAGGTCGTGTGACACCATAACGCTGTCATTGCATCAGCTGAAATAGTGCCTAGGAAATAGATTGGCAAGAGTGTTTCATACAGAGAAACACCACTTGGTGTCTTAGGCTGAAATCTTTTTCTGTTTGCTGGTTCTCACCTCGTCAGTTTCTTTCAGACCTGATGAGTTCAGTAACTTCCTGAAAGGTGCATTATTTTGCAGACCTGACCCTACACTGTGTTTATACTTTCCCGAAGTGTATTTGATCTTCTGCATTTAGAGATTTCAGCCTCGCTTGCTTTTTTCAGCTTGAGATACACTTTTTGATACAGCTTTTCTTTAAAGGGTAGGCAGAGATAAAAATAAATAATGGGGTCGAGGCACACATTTGCAGCAGACAGTACAAGAGTAAACTCCTTCATGTAGAAGAGAGTTTCTTTTGACTGGCTGTTGAATTTTGAGCTAGTCTGGCTCAGAGTGTAGGGGATCCTGCAGAGGTGATAGGGTACAAAGCAAATGACAAATACAAACATGATACAGAATATATTGCGGCTGGTCTTTCTCTTGGTCGCCTCGGAGTTCCTTCTGAATTTTTTATAAGAGTTATATATTTTTTTTGATATAGAGGTGTAAAAAATTATTAGCAGAAGAAAAACGACCCAGAATATCCCTGTGCAAACATAACTTGACCCTTTGTGCCACACTTTGCCCAGCTCACTTTTCAGACCTATGCATTTGATGGAATAATTCTTGTCAGGGTTTTCGTTAGTTAAAATCATGTTTGGAAAGGATATAAAAATTAACAATAACCATACGATTATGGAGACCACCTTACTGTAGCTAACGGTGTGGACAAAGGAGGTGAATAAAGGCTTTACAATTTTGTAGTATCTGTCAAAACCTATGAGGCCAAAAAATGTTATCCCGATATACATGTTGGTGTAAAAAACAACAGCAGAGTATCTGCACACAAAGGTGTTGAGCTGGGGAGATGCAATTTCTGCATCAGCAAGGATTTTGAAAGGAAAAGTCAAGCTCATCATGAGATCAGCAACAACGATGTTTTTGAGATAGACAATGAAACTCTTATTGCTGGGAACGTACAGAAAGATCCAGGCTGCCACGGCGTTCAGCAAGAGCCCCACGAGGCAGATGAAACAGTAGATCAGGGGAATGACTGTCTTGGTTATTACTGTGCTGTGACTGCAGTTGCTTCCTGAGGAGTTAGTGCTGGAGTTGAACATCTTACAGTGTCTTTGTTCCTAGAAGCAGAGAAACATTATCTCAGTAAGGCAGAACAGGGCTGTGCTTTCCATTGACTAGTATGAGATTGCTCCTCTTACTTCAGAATAATCTGGTCATACTGCTCCAAAATCATCATGTTACCATGTCCAGCAGGGTTGCAGAGCAAGCATTTTCCAAGTGGTGCCATCTCACTCCCTGGTGATGCTCATGGGCATCCTGCTGTTTGGAACAGGGAATCCACTCACTTTTCCTGGCTCTAACCCATTGCCCTCAAGCCCTGCTGCCCCTTTTCTGCAGGTATCAGCCCGGTGCTGCCAGCTGGGAGGGCACTGAGCCAACAGTGATGTTGTGACACTAAATACATGGTATTAACCCTGAAGGACCAGTATGTATTTTCAGCACTGCTCTGTCAGGAAGCACAACAGGGATTTGAACATAGCTCAGGCAAGTGTTCTGTTTTGTACACAGGCAGAGAAAACAGCTCTGTGAGTCAGGCGTGGAAGCATCTAATGTTTGCCAGTTTGTGCTGATGTTCACTTGAAAGCAACCTTCTGTGCTGCTAGCAGAGCTTGCTTTGCTCTGTCAGTAGGATGGCACAGAGGAGTGTGTCTGTGTCAGCATTACAGGAAAGCTAGAGCTGTCCTCTCAAGAAATTCCAATTTAAATTTTAGAGGATCTCCAGGAAGAAGCCACATCTGCTGTCTGCTGCTCTTTGACAGAATATTTATGGGGGTGGATTATCTGCTGTAGGGAGGGCAGAACTGAGATAGATACAATGCTGCTATATTTGGCAAATGGAAACCTAGGCAACTGGAAAACACATGCCAGCTGGGGAAAAGAAATCCACCCTGTCTTGTAGAAAACAAAGCATTTCCCTACTGCCAGAATTCAGAGTTGGTCACTGGTGCCTCCGTAGCAGATTGGAACCTGACTGCAACCTTGCAACAACCAGAAATGGGAGTTTTATTTTAAAGAGGTAAAATTGTTTCCTCTGGGGTATTGCCTTCTGTACCTCCCTAGCAGGCACTGCAAAGGCTGACCAGCTTAGGTGTTTTTCTGGAGCTTGCATGGCTGAGGGGAGAAATGGAACAGGTGAGACCCACGCTCACACCCAAAGCCTGCAGCTAAGCTCTCTGGTAGCTCTCCCATGAGAAGACCTGCCATCCTGTCTTTACATTGAGACTGTAATCACAAGGCTTTTGAGTTTGTTTGGTTGAGTTTTTTAAGGAAAAAGATGGTGTGGAGAGTGGGTATTATAACTGCCATGTGACTAGGTGTGTTAGGGTGAGGAGGTGATGATGGGCAAGGTTGGGGTGGTACTTCTAACATCTCCACTTTTCCCTCTGCATCCTTCAGCCACCCACCCAGCCAGCTGCAAGGCACCAGTGCTGATGGGATCTGTTAGTTAACATGGCAACACACTGTATTTGAGTCACAGCCCAAGCTAGACTCTGTAAATCTTTCAGTGTCAGTGGCCTGTCCTTACCTTTCTTGATTTGACTGCTGTGGTGCTTTCTGCTAAAGGTCTAGAATACTTTCCATTCTTGGGTGCAGGGCCTCTTTTGCTAGGAGACCTATGTGAGAGACAAGAAAGTAACAGTTGTTAGAGCTGTGTATCATAACAGAGCACAGGGCAGTTCTGTGGTGCTGAGGGGCCCCCACAGGCAGTGCCTGTTTGGACTCTGATGACTGGAACAGCCCTGAAGCCTTCGGAACATCCTCCTCTGGTGAGAACATGAGAGCTTGCAGTGGCTTCTGCAAGTGATGGGTGGCTTGAAATGAGCAGAGAAGTTCACCCCTCAGTCCACTTTGGGGCTCATCTGGAAACTGTCAGTGGTCGTCATTTGATATTAAATTGATGAGTCAATTTAGGGCAAAAGCTACTTGAGATGATGACTAACCTTAAGATTTTTTTCTTTTTTTTTTCTTTTTCCCAGTTCTTACAACATTTGCTGTTCTTTTGCCCCTGTGTAAGTGCTGCTGTTTGCTGGCCTGTGTTGGAGGGAGTTCCTCGGCACCCAGAAACTTGTGCTTTGCCTGTGAGAACAGCCTTTCATACCTGAGCAGCACTGGATGGACAAACGCTCGGTCCAGCACGAAGTACACGTGTCCTATGTAAATAAACCCAACCACTTCTGCTAAACCAGCAAACTCGAGTCACCAAATTGACAAGGTTGATTTGCTATTTTGGTAAAATACAGGAAAGTTTTGAACCTTTTCAGTTTACAAGTAGTGTTTTGGCAAAATACACAGAAGGAAAGTTGCACAGACTGTTGAAAATGCTTATTTCCTTCTGTGTTCAAGCTCTCATGCTGTCCTTTGTAACCCTTCCAGTATCATTAAGACATTTCTCTTGACTTCTGGACCTCGGCTGTCAGATGTCAAAGTTCATGGACATTTTACTGAACATAAGAATAATACTTCCAAGCTGCTGGTTTTGGTTTTGTTTGTGGGTTTTGTTTTCTTTTTTCCTGAATATGAGGAAGGTTCTGTAGTACGGGGTGGACATTTTAGCTATTTATGGAAATGCAGCTGCTCAGTAAAGAAATCTGCAGTGTAATGACTGGGTTGTTAGTTGTTGGCAGCGGTCACTGCTCCTAGAAATCTATTTTGAACTGCAAAATGGAGTTTATCAAGGAACAGAATGTTATCTCTGTTATCTCTGGTGTTATGAGAAGTCAAGAGCAGAGGCAGCACAGTGCACAAGGGCAGCAGCTGCCACCCGTGCTGGGCTGAAACAAGAACCTCTCTTTAAAGGTTTCTTTCTAAGCACACAGTGGGGGTCTGACTGTGCAGTCCCAACCAGGAGTGGGAAACCAGCCCCCAGTGTGGAGGTGGGATCCTGCTCCTCTGTTCTGCAGGTGGCTCTGAGGGGCTGGGTGGGGGTGGGATCTGGGGGCTCCCCAGGAGAGCCAGCAGCTCCTGCTGCTGTTCCTCAGCCTGGGGGTGCTCGGGGTGGCCTGCTCCTGTCCCACAGCTCCACAGAGGTGTCCCACCAGGGCCAGCGTGGGCCAGTCAGTGCCAGTGGTGTGGCTGCTGGTCTCCTTTGGAAGGCACTTTTGGCAGTAGCTGTGGAGAGTTGTTGGGGCATTTGACTTCCTGCAATTTTGCCAAGAGACCAGGATTTTGTTATTTTTTGGTGCTTATTATAACATCTGTCATAAGGCAATGTCTGGATTTCAATACTTAAGAGAATAGAGGTATGCAAAACACACTCTCCACTATTTCAGTCCTTTAAAATGGCAAGTTGGTTGGTAGTTGTTCTAGTTTGTCACAGATGCACAGAAGGCAGGGGAGGAAAACAGGACGTGTCGGAGCTGCTGTTGGGTAAGGGGAAGAATGGAAGTGAAAGCATCTCTTTACATCCTAACAGTAATTTTGTCCTTTGATCCAAAAAGAAAATTCAGGTGGTCCATAAACCATGGTTTAAGCTGTGCCATCTTTTGTGACATCTCTTGGTTGAGGTTGGGTTTGCCCCTGGCTGCCTCTCCCTGTGGTTGGCAGTGTGACTCTCGGGGGCGGTGCTGTGAAGACTTCAACTTCTCTGTATAATGCAGCCAATATTCATAAATCCTTATGAACTGATGATTGTATCTGTGTTTTTCATCCCTTCTATCTGCAAAGCCAGTTCCCAAACTGGCAGGTTCCAGCGCTGGGCTGTGAGGAGCCCCATTCTCACCTCCCAGCAGCGCCGGCTGGTGCCGGCACCACCTGCCTCGGGCAGCCCTTCTGTACGTGCGTCCTGAGCAAAGTTGTTGCAGACAATTAGATGTTTTCTTGGCATGTGTGACCAATTTCTGGGGTTCTGAAGGACAGAGTGAGGAGAGCCAGCGGGCAGAGAGCAGCTGCAGATACGATTGTTTATTTCTAGTTCAAGTCTCTGGCTGCTTGAAGGGCAGGGCGGGCTCCTTCGCCTGCAGCGTGAGGACACCCCAAGGGCAGAGTTCTATTTCCATCTTGCAAAGGCCACCAATTTAATTTCTTACTGTCCAGGAGTCCTCATATCACTTTTGATATCTCAAATTTACCAGCCTAATTTTCCTGGTAAGTTAAATTATATTTTTACTTCTGAGTTTTAGACAAGGGTCTAAATTATTCTAAACCCACGGCCTTTTAGCCCGTGAAGTGTCTGTACAAACCCTAATATTCAGGTTGAAACTTGGGCAATGCTTTGAGCTGTTGCTTGTAGGATCATTTTCAGATCTAACCCAAATATTCAGTTTTTTAAAATTAAGCTTCAATAAACCCCACCAAGACCCTTCCCATCTCCCATCAGTTACGATATGGGAATTAGGGAGTAGTGGCTGTAAGAGGAAAAGTGAGGACCAGGGTATTAGCCATGGTCAGTTTGTGATTTGATATTAGAGGTTTAAAGAAACCAACTTTTAGAAGCAACTGTCCTATCAAACTTGGAATTGCTCTGGTATGCATATGTCAGTAAAACATGTTTTATTGCCCTAAAACTGGATATTAAAAAGTAGTATTATGTGGCTCAAATACAGAAATAATTCCCTTTAATATTCTATTTTAATAGTAACAATTGTCATTTAAATACATGTTTTTAAATTATACTTTCTGATATTTTAAAGCATTATTTTTATAAAGTTATGTTTTCAGAGTAATAAATTAAAACAAAAGCAGTTGTTTAAGAAAACCATCTTTTGCTGAGGTGCAGAGCCCCGAGCAGTCCTTACCTGTAGCTCAGCAGTCTCTGGTGGCGAAGCTCGAGGCTGTTCCATCTCTGGCTGACAGGTGAGGGAGTTGCTCTGCTAAGGATTCATACATTCAGTCACACTTAGCACTGCTCCTTTGCGTTCTAAGAAATTTGTTTGTGGTTTGCATAATGTGTGAATTAGTTCCTTTTTCGCCTTGTCAATTGAAATGTATCTGTATCTATAGAGTGGTGGGTCTCTAAAAATCAGCAGCGCTTCCCGGAGAACGTCGGGGAGGTGCAGGAACAAGGCACGGCGAGGCAGAGCCTTCCGTCTGGAAAGCAGGA